TCCTTTATCTATCGCAACAGACCGATGGGTCGTGCTCTAATGACCTCTCATCGCACGATGCGACGCTTAGACTCGGTCTTTTTAAAGTTGAATTCCAGAATGGAATATACCTTCCTTCATATTCTAATGTGATATATTCACATTTTAGCATGTAGCACTTCTACCTGCAAACTTCTTTTAACAACGAACGCGATACTATCGATCGTATTAATTTCAACCTTCTGACTTAAGTAAGATGTTACATCTAACTTGGTCCTCTAGACCACGTAACATACTCCTCGTAGTCGAACTCGAACTTATATGACCACTAGGGTCGGAATAACAACCATCTCACTAGTCATTACCGAAACAAGGGTAATGACATACTCGAATAAAACGAGATCAATCACTAGCTTCTTGGTAACCTTGTGACTTTCCCTGATCCAAGTGTGAGTCCTGTGCTTCCAGTAGTATATGCATCTACTACCTTTCACACCTACTCATACTCGTCCCAAGTATTGTCTCGCAGTCCCCAAGTCGTAAAATCACAAAAGAATTTAACACATATGAATGTGTCCAAATAATCATAAACAATTTGCCTAGACTCTACTAGGACTTCTTCATTGCGTATATTCAATCATCAATTCTACTTCAACTCGATTGGTGATGGAAATACCGGGTGATGAGACAACCTCAAGAATTACACCAATCTCTCCATCATCCTGCCAATCGAAGGTGTACTTCAGACGTACCGTACTCCTCTAAACGTACTGTTATTTCATAAGACATACTCTAAAGGCAAGATACCACTCTTACGATATCTTCTGATAGGTGTCATCCACTATCATAAGCCTTTTTCATTTCCTCCATTTACTCAATTTCTCTACGAGTCTTCACCATGACCCTTTGTACACCCAAGCAGACATTCGGTGTACCAAGCGAGAATTTTTAAGATAAGAAAGCTTTAATTACGATAAACGTATAAATCTCCTTATCACCCCGAAACGTTTACATGCTAGTTCTAATATCGTAGTCATACGCTTAGAATCCTACACACATAAGGTTTCCAGATCCGGTCGGCAACAGACCATAGATCCGAAGAAATAATAGCATCAATTTAGCTATCACACAAAACAATTAGCACATAAAAGCATTTTAGGCATCATTCCTAAAATAAACTAGTGCTTGTGTCCATTTAGGTGTACTACCTAACATATTTTAGACACACTCCTCACGATCAATACTTAGCATTCTAAGTTTAAGTCTAGAAATTTCCTACAAATTCCTAGTTCGCTTAAACTAATGCTCTGATACCAACTGTGACATCCCCAATTTCATGGCCAGAAAAGACCGATTTGTTTATGCTTTGTTTTTAAAATCAGAGTAATCTTTGAAAGAAAACAGTTGCGGAATTTGTTCCCAAAACAAAATATGATAAGAATTTATCAAAGCATTTCTTTAAAGAAACGTATTTTCATTATTTAACAAAATCTCGGGATGTCATGTTCAATACAGACCAAAAGCATAAACAGAACAATTTGACCTTACAGTAGTTATTTACAACTACTGGTCTATTATCCAAAATCTCTCGTCAAATCCACCAACTTATACTCTTGTGTCATTACCTGTAATACAAAGAAAACTAAGTGGGTCAGGCTTGGGAGCCTGGTGAGCATATAGGGTTTTCAACACACAATCTTATATTATATATATATATATATATATATATATATATATATATATATATATATATATATATATATATATATATATATATATATATATATATATATATATATACAAGCAACTCTTATCCCACCCCATCGGTCGTCACAACGACACGATCTAAACTCTCGTATCTAAAATTTTCCTCTTTACCTGATCCCTACTCACGTATCTAAAACTAACCTTTTCACCTGATCCTTACTCACGGACCCAAAACTAACCTTTTCCCCTGATCCATACTCACGGATCTAAAACTACCTGATGCATACTCACGGATCTAAAACTAACCTCCTGATCTGATCCATACTCCCGGATCAATAATTGTACCCAATCCATACTCCCGAAATAGGGACAATTAACTATACCTTAATCCTGATCTGATCCATACTCCCGGATCAACAACTGTGCCCAATCCATACTCCCGGTCTAGGGACAATTAACTTAGTCTTAATCTATACTCCCGGACTAATAACAAGTTTTATCTCTTTACCTGATCCATACTCCCGGATCTAAAACTAACCTCTTGGTCTAATCCATACTCACGGATCTAAAACTAGCCTCTTGATCTGATCCCTACTCACGGATCTAAAACTAACCTCTTGATCTGATCCATACTCACGGATCTCATCTACCCATGTACTACCCAACATATTTGTAGTTATAAAATACATATATACAGTTTAACTCATTAAAACCTATATAGTTCATCCATTCCACCAACATCTCAAATAAACGACAATATATAAACACATAGCACGTATTTCATAGCAAATACTTCATACTTATGTGTTAGAAGAAAGTAACTATACACTCACACATATAAACAACAATATACTTAATACATTCAAACAATACTTGTATTATTATCGTGTTTATGAAAGGGACTATACACTCACTTGATCAGAAGATGATCAGACAACACTACGGCTTGTAGAAGTAGTATTCTTCGGTAGATCTTCACAAAAACCGGGCTTCTCGCGGGCAGAGCTTCGGCTCGGAAACTCTTTTCTTCTCGGGATCTTCGGGCTTCGGGACTTGCTTCGGGTGTCGGGATGAAACCAGGGCCTCGGGGGGTTAAAATAAAGCTTAGAGAGAGTATCAGGAGTGGGAGAGATGAGAAGGAGCAACCAAAATCGACTGACCCTCGATTTCTATTTATAGGGTGAATTTTCTGAGTTCACCTCGTGAGTTTTTAATATTCACCTCGTGAACTGATTCACCTCGTGAGTTTCTAATATTCACCTCGTGAGCTCGATACGTCATTGCGTTCGTCATGGCCACTTGCCCTGGAAGACGTCCATCATCTGTTCACCTCGTGAGTTTCTAATACTCACCTCGTGAACTGTGACAGCCTTGGGGTGCACGCCCCGAACTTCAGAAATTCATAACTTTTGCATAGGAGCTCCGTTTTCGACATTCTTTATATCCATGCGTAGGTGAGATTATGCTCTACAACTCTCGTTTAGACTCCGTTGGCTAATTTTGAGTTTAATTTTAACATATTATTAATATATTATTTTTAGTAGGCCGGGACAGGAAAACTCCGTTATAAACTCATAACTTCTTCATCCGACGTCCGTTTTTGTCTGTCTTTTTACCGTTGCACTACCATTGACGAGATCTTCGATTCTTGTTTAGATTGTTTTGGCTAAAAACCGCTCGATCTCAAATAGAGTATTCGGGCTGCACCCTGCTAAGTCGAAACTTCGAAAAATCATAACTTCCTCATACGAAGTCATATTTGGGCGTTCTTTTCACGCACGCTCTCGGTTTAACGTATTCTACGACTTTCATTTAGATTGCTAAGGCTAAATATCTCTCTAACGTAAATTCACTATTTACGTCGCGCTGTGTCATGCCGGTTCTGTCGCGAAACTTCGACATGTCATAACTTCTTCGTTATAACTCGGATTCCGGCGTTCTTTATATGTACGGAATCCTTGTAACATATACTATAACTTAGTTAAGATTAATCCTTCTAAATAATCTTCCATCAAAAACTCATTTTTGATGCTTATCGTCTCTAAATTGACTAGCCCGGATCTACGGGCGTTACAGCGAATGAGTAAATAGTCAGTGGATGAGAGTTTATGTGGATAAATTGGAGATCTGTACATATTTGTTTCAAGACATGATTGAGTTGAACCAGGCTTTATATCTCCTAAAAAAGGGGATTTATCAGCTTGATCGAGTGTAAGAATGTTTCCAAAATTGTTGGGCCCACTACGCAATTGGGTGGCTGTTTGATCACCAAGACTTGATTTTTGGTAATAAGTGCACAAACGATCACCCATTCCAGGGTTTCCAAGGAGTAAAGGCCTTTCCTCACAATACCTGATATAAAAATGAAAACAAACATTAGAAATGTCTGAAACTAAAATAATGCATGATCTTGGAAGAATACTTACTCCATTAGAAAAGAATGACCATCTCTAGCTGAAAGATCTGATTTCTTTTTAAAAGATCCAGGAGGGCATAAGGACTTGTTGTCACTAGGAAGTTTTTGAGCCCTTGGTAATAAATGTATTCTTGTATGAACTAGATGCAGCAAAGAATTTGGTCTAACATCTTGTTCAGCAAGAGATTTTTCATCTTCAAGCTCCTTTCCAGAGTATATAATTTTCACAGGTTCACTTGGTTTAAAATCTACCAAAAAGAAAGGAGAATTTTGTAAAATTTTTTTTTTTAACTTCAACAGAAACTGTGGTAATATTATCATTAGCCCAAAAAAGAAGACCAACCAAGCTTCTTGGTAGCTTTTCCTTTGAGAGATAAAACAGTCTCCTCAGCATCTACATGAAGCTTGCTCCCTTTCCCTCCCAAGCTTTTCAATACAATTTTCATTGACCCTTTTGTAAGCAGCTTTCCTTGTTCTTTAAGTGCCACCAATTCTTTTACTCCTAAAGGCAACATCTCTCCATCGGAGACCTGAGAATGAAAGAAGGAAAGAAATTACAGTCATTTTGAAAGAAATTTGAATACAAGAAAAAACCCTTTTTTATTTTATTTTTGAATACACAAAAAAGCATATTGACACAATTCTCATTTGCAAGTTCTGGATTGCTTGCAAGATCTCTCACTTGCGACAAATTTAGGGTTAATACAAGCGTAAGGTCTACACTGATCCTAATTACAATTGGTACTAAGCTTATCCAGAAACAGAAAGCTAGATAATGTCACAATTACATCAATTCGTTAACCATATTGCTGATCTCAGCAAACAGTATGTGTCACAATTATCAAGCATTTGCTTCAAATGGGATCAAAGACTTATCTTTAAATTTTGTATCTTGAAGATGACAACTTTGAAATCAACAAACAAAGAGCTGAAAGGAATGATGAAAACTGTGAAGATACAAGACATTGATGTTAGCATAAATATTATAAATCTCTTTCTTTTGATACTTTATAATTACAAACCATTTAATCTTTTTTCTATGTTTAGAATTTTCAAGATGAAATGATGGACATAATGGATATAAGTAGTGAGACACAAGAATCTCTTGGTAGAATTTATTGTGTGCCAGATGATATTGATGAAGATGATCTCATGGGTGGTAAGCATAGATTTATTATTTTTTTCTTATTTTAAATGTTAACTTCACTTTATGGAAATGTTTCAGAACTTGATGCTTTGGAGGCAGACATAGGTCAAGAAACTGAAGGTGAAGGGGTACCTTCATATCTTCAACCTGATAATGAGCCCGATCTGAATGAAGAGCTTAATCTGCCTTCAGCTCCAAGTGGATGTGCAGTGCCAGCTGGCAGAGTTAACAATCAGGTAACTTTTTATGCTCAAAATTTGAAGTATAATATTGTAGTAGTCATTAACTAATGTAGCTCCATTGCAACCCATTAAATCCAGAATTTAGGTCAGGAAAAATCAGACTCTTAAATTTATGCTCAAAATAGTAAACATGTGGATGTGTGTGTGGTGCTGTGTGCGACTGTGAACAACTATCATAACAAGATTAAGAAGCAGAAAAGTAGGGGAGATGGATGTCTCACCTGAGCAATAAAAAAAACGAGAATAAGGGAGATGGAACGGAGCGTACCTGAGATGCTTAGAGAGTAGAATTGGGGATCAAGGAAGGAGGAGGAAATCACGATTAATATCTATATCACTTTTTCCAGTTAGGGTTTTACAGAGGAGAATACGAGACGAATCAAAATCGAAATCAGAGGTATGAATAAAGGAGAAATAAGAACCTGGATCTTTTCTTTGACATTCTCGTTGTTGTCGTTGCTCTCATCAAAATTAAAGAGGGATAAATACAAAGTTCGAGACAGAGATCGTATGAGCTCCAAACTGACAACGGAGGGTGTTAAATATATAACCAAAAATATATAACAAAAAAGTGTGGTTGTGAGGTTGCAACAGGTCTAAAAGCTTACCAAAACTACTACAATGAGAACAGTAGAACAGAACATAAACTTAAAATACTATAGGAGTATTTTGTGTTACTTTAATTACTTATCTGAGAATTAAAGGTCTTTATTAGTATATCAATAGTTGCTGAGTGGATACGCTAAGGTTATAGGTAAGTGGGATGTCATAGACTTAGAATCTGTGATCTTTACTTTACTTCCTGTTCCTTCTTTGGTTGTGGACTTAGAGTTAGGGTCACTTATTTAAAGGTATATCCTGTCTTGGTTACATATGACTGGTATGGACTACGCAAATATTGAAGTAACTGATAAAGATCATCTTATAATTATCTAATTAGTTCGTCTATTTAGTTATTTCTTTATTCCTTTTCTCGCGTAGATTTCATGGCTGGATTCCATATCCCCGGAGACCCGTACTACCCCAACAACGGCAATGCAGGATGGCTGGGAGAAGAGCTAGAAGATGATCACCCAATCCCTTTGGATGATCACGAAGCTGAAGGCTTTTTTTGATGGTTCTGACTCAGAGCCTGAAGTCAACAACCTACCCCCAGCTGCTCAAGACCCAAACCTGAACCCTTGTACAGCATTTCAAGGACCCACACCCATGTGGGCCACAAACTTGAACAGATAGAGTCAGGAACAGGGCCAACCCATACCCTACAATGGAGACAGAAGCTTCTACAACCTCACCGAGGGAGGTTCAGCTGACAGGGTCTTACCCATAATGGTCCGTAGGATTGCTCGGAACACTGAGCAAGGTCGAGCAGCTATCGACCAAGACATGGAGATTGACGCCAACTCTAGCGTTAACACTGTCCGCATTCGCCAACTAGAGTATGCTCATGAAAGGACTCAGGTCCGCAATGCAGTTCTGCAAAGGGAACTTGCTGAGACCCAAGCTGAAGTCAGAGAACTTCGAGCTCATCAAGCAAGATCTGGTAGGCGTATGAGGGACATAGAACGTCTTCTGTCGGATTCAAGAACTCACTCTAGTAGTTCTCGTCGCCGATAGAGTCTCATCGACTTCTCTTTTGGATATAACCTAGTTATGTAAAAACTCTAGTCTAATTTCCTATCCTTGTAAATCTTATACCTGTTAGGTCTTGATTAGGCTGTAGTCTGTCAAAATTTCCCATCTTGGTTGATGTAAGACCTACTTCTAGGTCATTTTTCCCGAACTCATTACATCTGTAATTCCAGTATTATTAACAGATATCTAATCTTATGGAAATCAATATCCAATTGCTATCATCTGTTAGTACTAGATCTTCATTCAATCATACTATTCAATCATGCTATTCAATTGTGCTGTTGGGCTATGGAGAGTTAGTCCATGAGTCATTTTCATCAATTTCCCTTTTAAATTCTTATCAATACCTTCATGTTTCTAATCTTATAGTTGAAAAATGCCTCCTCATAATAAATCTACAAGACGCGATCCTCCTGCACCAACACCACCTGCTCCTCAATTCGACTCGGCAGCCCTGAATGTTGCTGTAGCTGCGGCTGTGGCTACAGTCATGGCACAATATCATTCTTCTGGTTCCACTGGAGGAGGAACCCCTGTCCTATCTACTCATGGTGAAATCCCTGTGCGCTCCAGAGAGTGCTCCTACAAGGACTTCACAAACTGCAAGCCATTGTCCTTTAAGGGGACTGGCGGAGTCATTGCCCTCTCGCAATGGTTCGAAAAGACGGAGTCGGTTTTTGAGATCTGCTCATGCCCGGAGGGAAGCAAGGTCAAGTTTGCTGCTTGCACCTTCAAGTCAAAAGCCCTGACATGGTGGAATAGCCATGTCAAGTCACTATCTCTTATAGTGGCAAATTCTATGGGCTGGGAAGCTCTGAGAGAGCTAATGGTTGAGGAGTACTGCCCGAGGGGCGAAATCCAAAAGCTGGAGGAAGAACTGTGGAGCCTAACCATGAAGGGCTCCAACATAGTCTCCTACACCGCCAGGTTCTATGAACTGGTGGCCCTCTGTCCCAACATGGTTCATACAGAGGGGAAGAAGATTGAAAGGTACATATGGGGGCTGGTGCCTCCATTCCAGGGAAATGTTTTGGCTTCAAACCCCAATACATTTGATAGTGCCAAACGATTGGCACATCGGCTTATAGACCACGTGATTCGTACCCCGGCCGCAACAACAACCCTGGCCATCTCAGAACCCGCCAGAACCGCTGATTCCAAGCAGAAGTTCTGGGATGACAAGAGAAAGACGAAGGCTGCCAAAAAGCAGCAGGTCGTGGCAGTTCATAGTGCGATAGCACCTGCCACTGCTGCTGTCCCAATAAAGCAGTACGCTGGAAGTTTCCCCAAATGCAACAAGTGCAACTTCCACCACGTAGGAGCTTGCCGGGAATGCAGTGTTTGAACTGCAACAGGAAGGGGCACACTGCCCGTTTCTGCAAAGCTCCGGCGAGGCCAATCACCCAAGTCCCCGACGCTGGTGTGAGGCAAACTTGCTACGGTTGTGGCGAGGTGGGCCACCACAAAAGGAATTGCCCGAAGGCAGGGAATGCCGATGGAGTGGCAAGAGTTCTGGCCATAGGCCACGAGGAAGCAATTGCCGACCCCACAGTGGTCACCGGTACGTTTCTCCTCGATAACTCTTATGCATGCATACTGTTTGATAGTGGAGCGGAGAGGAGCTTCGGGAACCAAAAATTTGCTCATTTACTTAAGCAAAAATCACGAGCACTTAAAGAACCGTTCACTGTAGAAATGGCTAATGGAAAGACAGAGAGCACTAGCAGTATATACATAGGGTGTACCCTAACTTTAGATAGCCATTCTTTTTCAATCGATCTCATGCCGGTCTCAATTAAAAGTTTCGACGTCATTATCGGCATGGACTGGTTGAGTCTACATCGTGCCGACATCATGTGTTATGAAAAGGTTGTTCGGCTTAATCTACCGTCTGGCGAAACTCTAGTCATTTATGGCGACAAACCCGACACGAACCTTCGTATCATCTCGAGCATTCAAGCTCAGAAATTCTTGCAAAAGGAATGTCGCGCATTCCTTGCTCATGTGGTCGATGTGAGTCAAGAAACGAAAGACATTCAGAACATTCCAGTAGTACGCGACTTTCCCGACATCTTTCCAGAAGAACTCCCAGGATTACCTCCGCAACGTCAAGTCGAGTTCAGAATCGACTTAGTTCCAGGGGCTACCCCCGTAGCCAAATCGCCCTATCGTCTAGCACCTGCAGAAATGCTAGAACTGTCCTGTCAACTTAACGAACTGCTCAGCAAGGGCTTTATAAGACCAAGCTTCTCACCCTGGGGAGCTCCAATCTTGTTCGTCAAGAAGAAAGACGGATCGTTTCGTATGTGCATCGACTACAGGGAGCTCAACAAATTGACCATCAAAAATCGTTATCCTTTGCCTCGGATTGATGATTTATTCGATCAACTTCAAGGGGCGAACTTCTTTTCAAAAATCGACTTAAGATCCGGATATCACCAACTACGAGTGCTACGGGAGGATGTTCCGAAGACAGCCTTCCGAACTCGTTATGGGCACTACGAATTCGTAGTGATGCCGTTCGGATTGACAAACGCGCCCGCAGTATTCATGGATTTAATGAATAGGGTGTGTCGTCCTTACTTGGATCAGTTCGTCATCGTCTTCATCGATGACATAATTATCTACTCTCGTAGTGAGGAGGAGCATAGTCAACATCTGCGACTAGTCTTAGAAACCCTGCGTGCGGAGAAGCTTTATGCGAAGTTCTCGAAATGCGAATTTTGGATCCGAAGAGTCGAATTCTTAGCGCACGTGGTTAGCGAAGAGGGAATACACGTGGACCCTTCCAAAATCAAAGCCATTGAGAGCTGGTCAGCACCGAAGACACCTACAGAAATTCGTCAATTTCTAGGCCTCGCTGGCTACTATCGCAGGTTCATTCAGAACTTCTCCCGCATTGCGAAACCTCTTACAACACTGACCCAGAAGGGCGTGGCCTTTGACTGGGAAGAGAAGCAGGAGAGAGCGTTCCAAACGCTCAAAAGAGCCTTGTGCACCGCACCAATACTATCCCTCCCCGAAGGGATAGAAGACTTTGTTGTCTATTGCGATGCGTCAAATCAAGGACTCGGATGTGTTCTGATGCAGCGAGGTAAGGTCATCGCCTATGCCTCGAGACAGCTGAAGACACATGAGGTCAATTACACCACCCACGATCTTGAGCTAGGAGCAGTTGTGTTTGCTCTAAAGATCTGGAGACACTACCTGTATGGTACAAAAAGCACTATCTTTACAGACCACAAAAGCCTGTAACACATATTCGACCAGAAAGAGCTCAACATGAGACAACGACGGTGGGTCGAGCTACTCAGTGATTACGAATGCAAAATTCGTTATCATCCGGGTAAAGCCAACGTAGTAGCTGACGCCCTAAGTCGGAAAGAATATTCTGGTCGTAGAGTCAAATCGTT